ACTGTTGTTTAAATGTAGTGGGTTACAAGTTCGTGTATTCAAAGGTTACACATCATGTCGATGCATCTGGCATTTCACTTTTGGTTAGTTGGTTCGTTACTAGGACATGAATCAAAAAAAATTGACAGCTTAAGCTTAAGTTCACCTTGACCACGCTGTTGGCAAACATCTCCGCTTTTGCGAAAGGATGACATGAATAAGAGTAACGTTTTCGATTTTTTACAGAACGCACTTTATACACCGAATATCTTTCTATTTCCTACAATCTCTTCATTCAGAATTTTGTACTCACCCATTCGCTTCCTTTAACGAATCATTCATTTATTTCATAAATCTCTCATAAAACTCTGAAACTTGTATCAATATTTTAAGAGCATTTCTATTCAGCCAATCAGCACTTCGTAAAGTATTTCGCGTCACTTTACGATTGGATTATCTATCATCTTTCCTGTCTTTACCATTTGATTACATGAGAACGTTTCGTCTGAATATGCTATTTATGTTCACCACAATTGGAGTCATTGCAGTGGACGAAGTTACTGCCTCCTAACGAGAAATTTTCAAACGAAAATCCACATCGACTGCTGCATCCGCAAGAAACCATCGCAAAAATTAATTAGTATGATGAAGTGCCAGTTTTTTAAGTTATTTCATTTTCAACTGTGCTTATGATATCTGCAAGCAAATGACGACCGAAAATATACACTTTGATCGTTTTCATTTCATCGTCTGTTTGTGCGAACTGCTCGCTGAAAGTACTGAATGAATTATTNATTCCATTTCGATCAATAGATGCAACTTAAAAGATTTTACTGAGAGCACTGTTGCTGTGTCCATCCAGCATATTACCGATAAAACACTGAATCAACTTCGGACAAATTGCTGTTAAGAGACAAACAGAGAAAAATGATGAATTTAACACAATTAATCCATTCTCCAAGAGCTCTTCCAGTGTTTATAAGTACACTAATGATGTATTTATTTTCCTTACACAGAATTTAGTTTGTTGAAACTCTTACGGGATTATGAAGGTCTGAGTAGGACTTTGCTCGTTGCTTCCATATCAACTTCACTCATTTGTCATCCATTTAAGCTCCGACAGATTAAACGGAAATCCCATATTTGACGAATCATTTTCGGTTCATTCCACTTCTGACTGCCTAATCAGTCTTGGAAATCGACGAAGGAATAAACATTTTTTTGGCGCTGTAAGCATTCAACTCAAAGAATTTCAACTTGAGAACGCTCGGAAATTGGGTTTTTCTGGTTTTGCTTAATGTTTTAAGTTTCAGTCTCGATTATACGGCTATTGATCGTCGCCTATTATAATCCATAACTATCCGTTACTCGTGTGATAGAAATTGTTTGATGGAGCAACTCAGTAGGAATCTAATCAGCTCATACGTTCTTTTCATAAATTTCATGCGTTGATTGCGATTGAAATTCGTACCTCAAACACTCCGCATTCCATTTTTTCAATCGTCAAATAAGCTAGACATATTTGAACAGATTGTGGTAGTTTTGAACCACTAGCAAATGAAATGTAAAATCTCTATTCATGCCGAATGCGTTACTAAATTGTTGCAATTTGATAAGAGAGAAAACTGAGATAAGATAGCGATTCATCAAATCTAATCTTAAAATGTGTATGTCAGCAAACAAGACATTGAGTCACGAGAATACGGTAGTGCGCGTCGACACATCCGCCAAGGCAGCTGCAGCTCAGCTCCAGCAAAAGGCCCAACAAGGCGCAACTAATTCGTCCAGTCCAAGGCCAGCCACACTGCCAGGTTCGATACAAAACGATTGATTGGATGTGTGCAGTAGTTTAGATGGTTTGCTGATGATCATCTGTCGTTTAATCGCTGTTTCTTCTAATCATACCAGTTCCGTACGTCTGGGGTTCTCAGTTCTACAACTGAGTACGTGAACCATTGTTACACCATAACAGTGGCTCATGTGCTCATTAAATAGTCGAAAACAAATTTAGTGTCACGCTTTTAGGCGCATAAATCACCTCAGATGTACTTGTATGTATGTATGTGGTATTTTCTGCTCGCATCGAATATTTTTCTGGTTTTATCGAAGTAATCTGGTAGATAATAGATTGCATGCGTTATGTTTAGTTTATTTTTTGTCGAGACTGGCTCTTCATATCAATCATTGCTTGGGAGCTCATTTATTTTTCGCATTGCAAGCAGTCAGTCCAGCTCAGCCATTAATATGCTGCAGATAGCGTGCTTTCATTTCGGTTCTATTCAACGTTCTAGACTACTAATGCTTATCAATAACACAACAAAAGCAATTTCCTTTCATAAAATCAACATTAATGCGCCGGAAGTCGTCCTCATTCGCAGGAAGCAATCTAATGAAGACTTCTGCAAACACTGCTGGAAACTTGATTGAACAATCGATTGAATCAACTTTCTGGTCTTCTCCCCAAACAAATACTTTAAGAGCAATAGATTTTTGAAGAGGGCATAGTGGACTGCTCCATATGGACGAAAGAGGGGACGAGGTACGAACCGCGAGAGTCTAAGAAGCACAAATTTATTTGAAGGACTGTCATTTTGCTTGCCCAACCTGAATCAGTACTCAAGACATTGGACGATATGGCTGATGATATGGCTCAAGAAACAATAAGAACACAGCAACGAAAACAACGTCTAATGCATCATGATAGAATGAATATCTTTAATTGATTGAGTCATCAAGAAACGAACATGTATCAAATTTAATGATCAAAACACAAATTTTAACACTGCTCCTATCATATGTTTCGGATGCATATCATATGTTCGAAAGATAACACACATTTGTCATTGAGTGGGTGTGGCATAGGCACAAGCCGTGGATCTTACAAACAATGAGAATTCAGCAGCTCAGCTAAAAATTCAGCTCAGCTAACAACGAAGTGAGCTTATACTGCACAGCCTTCACGTTCCGTTCCATCAATACAACTTTGCGTGGTGGTTATGCGATGAGCATTGCTTGTCCTTTCTCTGCTCCATTCACACAACACTTTGCAATTCANTTCAATTCAGTTCAACCAAGCAAGCATAGTATTCATACAAACAGCAATTAAATTCAATTCATCATAACTATTCGCATAATACTATTATCGTTGAATGAATTTATTTTCTATGAGTGATTTCGTTTTGCATTATTCACTACTCGATTGTTCGTCATCACTTTAATTAGCCGCATTCATTTTGACAATCCTGTCAACGGTTGTTTTCAACTGATCGATTCTTTTCCGCTCATTATTATTATTATTGCGTTTCGAATTGATTATTCATAAGCACAACTCGACCATCGCATATCAATATATTCAATTGTCTAATAACTGAATGCTCTATTGATTATTGCTAAAATCACAATCAAGCGTATCACGTTTTCAATAGAATTCCGCCATCGAATCAATTCTCTGCCACTATTATTGAAGTGCTCTGATTTGGTGTGATAAGAAATTTGTATGTGAACATTGCTGCTTCTGCTACTACTACTACCACTAGTGCTACGGTCCTCTGAAACTGTCCTTCGATTCAATGTTCACCCCAGCGTCATCGACACCAGCAACGACATTCCACGACATACGCAGTACTCTTTTCTCGATTCTCATTTTTGCTTCCTATTCACTCCTCTTCTTCACTCTTTCTTGAGTTCATCTTTCTTCACTCATTGTATAAGCGATCATGAACGTTGACGTTGATTGATAGGCTAGCGAAGTTCTATTCAGAATTGCGTCGACTGCCATTCATTTCATTGCGTAACGTTATCTCCGATACAATTTGTTTCTTGAACATTCAGCGAAACCATTATTTCTATGATTCACTTTGCATTATGCTATCTACATAAGCTCGTCTCGGTGGTAATTCTGATAGAAGGGATCTAGTGATATTTCGATTGATTAGATATGTAAAAAATTATTCAATGTCGAGTAAGTTAGTCCACGATGAATTCAATGATTTCGTTTGTCATCACTACCACCATTCAGGTTAAATGAGGTTTCCTCGATAATTTCCGTTGGCTTTCCTGTTAATGAATGTGATTTATAGTTTGTGGCATGCATCGATTCGTGCACGGCGGCTTTTCACACCAATAGCATGTAGTAGAATGCATGAACTTTGGTCACGTGATGCATAATGCGTTATTTTCTTTTTCAATACATTTTCGAATCGAAACACATGGGAATTTTACTAATGAACCATCAGCTTGGAGAAAATCGTGCTCGAATGCGCTTATTTTTGTAGCCATTAAGCTCATAGGTTTCATTTTCAGAATGATATTAGCCAAACAACATTGTAGCGTTATCTCAGTTTTTGCCGAAATAGACAAAATTGCCGAAAAAAGTAGACAAATTGAACAAATTATGCAGAATTTTTGTGTTCATTTCAAATTGGTAAGACTATAATTGATGATTACACATTGTGTTGTGCTTTTTTCACTTCATCCGACAATCTTGTTAACCAGAACAGTTGTTCAAGCGATAATCAGTTACTCTGTTGTCGTATTCATTGGTCGTAAAACACATTCTATTTGGTTTGAGGCACACACTATTTTTTTCTGATCGGTTTTGTGTGATAAAACCTAACGGATCAACTGCTTATGACAGTTGCTTTCGTATTTTTTGAAATTTGTTTGTTTATGTGATAAGCAGTGATGAACAGCATCAACACTGATAAAGGAATGCAACAGAATTTTAATGATTCATAGGTCGTTTTTCCGTGCGAATGCAAAATTTCACTATTGATCACTGCTGTTGAGCATGATACTTCGGACTCATTTGATTTGGCTGAATTCATGCCACAGCGCAATTATCCTTATTGGGAGATAACGTTAAGCNTTATTGGGAGATAACGTTAAGCATGAAATGCATGCTATGTTTCAACTAAAGCATTCACTACTAGCATGTTTCTTATTTTTTCCAACAAGCCAAAGCATGATACTGACATCACTTTTTATTGCATGCTAACAGTTAATCAGATTTTCAGTCAATATTGTTTTTTGCCATTTGTCAGAATTCATTCCTGCTTGAGAATTTCTCAGTCAAACATTTCTTCAAATGTTATTTTATCATGACAGCAAAAAGGCGAACACTCAGAAATTCACGCTCTCGAAAGCACTCAGAAAGCTAATCGTAGTGTTCCAGTTGGTATTCTCGTTTAAATTGTGATTGTTAGTGCTTGTAAAATAGATATTGTCTGACATCATATACAACAGACTCGGCCGATCAGCAAACCGTCGTAGTTTCCAGCAGAATAAGCTTAATCGAGCGTCGAAAACTATCGGTTGCAGATATGCCGGGTTTGCTGTTGCGTTAAAATGGCATGCGTGGGGGATGATGCATTAACGTTGTGGAGTTTTGGAGTAACTTTGGTTTGCTTGTTGGGATCTGTCAACCGTTCGTGTGTTTTCAAATATTTTACCAGCTGATCACTCCAACCGATTTGCATCCTTTACGTATCAGTGCAGTCGTTTCCGATTGTGCGCAATCGGATTTTCACGACTTTTCCTTTGCTGCCATATTCGAAGAGATTCGCAGCTCTCACTTGAAATCAACCAGCTTAACGCTATTGAAAAATCAATCCGCCTCTCCAATTTACACCTTATCTTCAAATTGCACTCTCAATTTCAGTCCTTTTCAACTTATACTAGCAAAACTGAAACCTGTAGCACTTTCTAACTCTTTCACAAAACTTTTCTCACACTTTGGGAATTCCTGATTTTCTGGTTTCCATGCAAAGTTCTTGAAACGTGAACATTCTGAAATGTGAAAAGTTTTCATCGCCAAATATGTCTCATGTCGGTCTACTCAACAGAGTTGTTCAATTGCAGCTCAAAAACAGGAAATTGTACGTGTCACTCAACAACTGCTCGATGCGATTTCGTGCAAAGACTATGAATCTTATTCGTAAGTGACTGTGATTCTCGTGCCTTTCTTCAGTTTCGTCATGGGCTTCATTTTATCGCTAATTGCTCATCCACTCTTCACTCAGAATAATTCATTGTCACAAAAAACGATCCATTTCAATGTTGCTTTACTACTTCAGTTATCCACTGACTTTCCTGATGCCTACTAACGCCACAGCAAACCACTTTTTTGTTTCGATAAGTTGGTAAAAAATTGTTTCCATGAAGAACGATTTTGTAGCGAATAAAGATGAAACTTTCAGCAAATTGTGCGACCCATCGATGACATGTTTCGAGCCAGAAGCATTGGGCAATTTAATCGAGGGAATGGATTTCCATAAATTCTACTTCGATAATAGTATGTTTCCTTTGAAATCTACTCGAGGTATTCTCCATCTCTTTTTCAGTTGAATTTTGAACTGATCGGCCAGTGGGTCGCAGTCGTTGAAAAGAATTCTTTAAGCTAAGTTTGATATTTGTGGACATTCCAAAACTTTGCACGGCATACTACTGATGAAATAGTTTGTACGAACGCAAACGATGCAGGAAAAACTTTCCATTGCATCTTTTGGATGCTGGATTCATTTGTGATTGCGTTGTTTCGTCATGGTTTGCTCACCACG